TACTAAAAAAACCACCTTTTTTTTTTTTTTTAATTAAAGGGTTCTGCCCACATCACTTTAAGGAAGTAAAACCATACGTGGTTGTGACATGGTAGCACTGCCTTCTTCCCAAGGGTTCTCTCTTACTTCAAGGGCTAAATCCTCTCGGTTCTGTTCTCAGCATTCTCAGCCTAGAAGGTCAGCACATAACTTCCTCAATCCCCTTTTAAAAGGGTGGGTGATAATGCACCAGTCCCTCCTCCAGCAAACTGCAAAATGCTCTCGGAGGACAAGCAATCACACTTGGTTTGCTAAAGCACCGAGGCAGAGGAAGTTCTTTATCTGCTTACCTTATCTCAGCAGAATCCTCTGTAGGCAGAGCTCTGCTGCAGGAGGGGAGCAGGCAGTCACACAGCAAGTAGCATCTACTTGCTCCTACCACAATTATGTCAGCAGCAGCCCCAATCTAGTTCTTTTCATCAATAAAATTGATCCTAAAGATGTGGTTTTGTGCATGTTTCTTCCCAGTTAGAGCAATTATACAAAAAATATAAATTAATCCAGCAGGTGATGTTTTTAGAAGTACTTTCTCCCCACCTATACACATGTAACCAATACAATAAGCAAACGAAGTTCTAGGTGCCACAAAGTCATAGTCAGTATTTATAGTTTAAGAAAGTAAGATGACCAAACATGCAACTGTACTTGGTTGAAAGACCTCATAACAGAATAAGCAGGAAGAAACCATTTATTTCTGAGTGACAATCCGAGATGAACAGGTTGTTGTTTTGTAAAGAACCCAAGATATTCCTCAATCAGGTCATCCAACAAGAACCAACCAGCCAGTGTCAGACTCTCACAAGCACTTCCTCCTTCCTGCCTGCTCTCCCAGGTTCCTCCGAAGGATGTTGGGGAGGAAGTTGCCTTTATTCGTCTAGGCAGTCAGTGAGCGTGGATTAAATGTTCCCGGATAAATTACTTCAGGAAGCATTTTTAGCTGCTGAATACAGTCTGTGGGAAACACCTGTTTGGTTTCCATGTCCTGAAACCACAGAACAACAAATGTTGAGAGGTACAACTACATGTATCCCTGGGACTCCAGGAGGCAGCTTACATTGTAACTCTCATTTTTGTACAATGGAGAAAGAAAGGAGGAAAATTATAACATAGCAAACTCACCCCCTTAGACAACTTGGGAGTTAACAACATGACCAAGTAAATTGAAGTCTGAGATCAATTCCATACATCCAAGGAGTCTGGCAGACATTAAGACCACGTTGGTCAAAGCTAAGTGAAGTGTAAAGTGGGGGGAAGTTGTCCAACACTGGAACATGCAGGAAGGGCAATGAGGTGCTCTTACACTCCTATGTCACCTTCTCTGTCCAGCTGCACATAGCGCTCACTCCCTGCAGGAGAAGGTGACAGTCCACCTCCCATGAGCTCTTTAGCTCCATCGAGGCCACAGTGAAAAGCACACACAGCATCCGGGGCACCTCCCCTCCTGCCCCCTTCCCTCTATCCCACCCAGAGGGAGATAAGCCATCTTATTTGGCCTTTATTCAAACGGCAGGCAGCCACAGTACACAGTATAAACAACCGGTGGTGTGGCTGCCCCTAACTGAGCCTGGTTCCAGTCATATCATGAATGGATACGCAAGAGCATCAGCCCAACTGAAAAGACAGAACTTTGCACCTATGACGTTATCTCTGCACCTGCCATTTAAGGAAACTAAAAAAAGGCATTTTAGGAACAATTTTATCCCATACCCATAACAAAGTTTTAGGAGACATGCGAGGCTACTGTCACTTCAAGCAGTTTTAGTAAATCATAGTAGATACAGTTGGTGATGTTAAAACAAGCTGTAATTGAACTGCATCCATTTGACAACTCTGCATTCTTTACAGCCAAGTATCACTGGATGGTACTGGCAGACTGACATTAACAGCTTAGTCATTTCTGTACAAGTCTGTGCCCTGTGTTTCATTGGTTTACATTCTAGACTACCTTAAGGTTAAGGCAGAAGGAAGTATTAATTAGTGGAGTAAACAGGCTGATACTGCTCCCAGGACTTGAAGGAATAGCCAGCATTTGAGAACAATCACTGTCGTGCTTATCAAACTGCAATGTAGAAGACACCTAGGTCCCTCAGTCCATACAAATATCATGAAGAAATTGTAATTCCTTCACTAAAACATGTTATGTGAGCACTTGCACCTCAAATATCCTCAGACTGCAGACCCGATGATAGGCTCCAGTGAAAGTGTAGCTTTATGGTGCCTTCCACAAAGGAAGGCTAGGACAAGAAACCCAAATGATCCACTGCTCCAAATTCCTAACAAATCAAATCAGACTTATTTTTTTTCCTTAGTCTAGTTTGCTCATTTTAATCTTTTGTAGACCTCTTACTCTGATAAAAAGGTTTCGGTGACCAAGTTAAACAAGATGTCTGCCCTTTACAGCAGAAAAGGCAAGAAAGAAGGTCCAGTTGGCCACAAAGGACATCCCTTGAGTCACACACCAGCCCTGCTATCTTGAACAGAAGCAGGGGAATGTTAGAATGTTCAAAAACATTTAATAAATTCCCAAAAAGAAGGATGCAAAAAAGTAGTAAATAAAGTGTTTAACAGAAGAGATTGGAAAGGTAAGTGCATTTCAGATATGTTTATTCTACAGAAGTTCCAGTCATGGAACTCTTTGTAATAATGCCTTTTAAAGACACACAGACTCTCCCATTTGGACGCAGAGTCCATTTAACACTCCACTTGTCATAGCCAGGCGTGCCTGCCCTGCCAAGCTTTGCTACTGAACTTCTGTCAGAGATTACGACATTTCAGAACTCTAGATGGTAGCTGTATTTCCCAGAACAGATGAAGTTTTAGTGTGTACACACGGCTGCATCAAACCTTTGCTTTTCGTTAAAGATTTAGTGTTGTGTCATTAGAAAAATAGTTCATACCTCAAAAGCAGGTGTTCCCTTTAGCAGGTCCTTCAGTCTTCAGAAACTGCTTATCTGCAAAATACAATGCATGCAGATTTAGAGGAAGCCATACAATTACAGAGTACTTTGATGTAAGCTTATTAGGGATGGCTACAAGACAATTTGCGTTACTCAAAATTAACTAAATCTTGCTACAGTCCCACCAGAGTCATCCAGGCAGCTTTCTTTAATGTTCGCTCCTCGACATGAATACTATCTAACTATTACTATTTCACACCAACACTTGCTCAAGCTATTAAGGATATACCATAAATACCATAAAAATTGTGAGTAACTCTTCCCTCATCATGCTTCTTAATAGCTTTTTACAAACACACCATTAAAGCTGAAGTAATCCAGGATGATTAGGACATCCCTCTACTAAGCAGTATTTCAGGTGCTCATATAATGGCTTGAAAGCTCTTAAAGTCACTGCTAGGCATACACCTGCACAACCACCTGCGACAGCCAGGTTTGATGCACGCGTTGATTTTTATCTGACTGAGATGAACAAAGCTAAAGAGGCACCAAAACATCTGTGGCCAGATTTATCAGTTATTACTTTGTAGAGCCACTGTGCAAGGCACTCGAAAGGCTTTCATACGGCAGAACCGTCACATTTTAGTCTGAGACAAGTGAGTAAGCAAAGATGAAACTTTTTTTCTTTCAATAAAGGTTGTACCACTCCATGCCATTTTCTGTACTTCCAAACTTCAGACTGTACTCTCTTGCAAAGCTTTTAATATATTCACAAGACAAAACCTACAGGTATTGCTAGACATGTTATTCAACTCGAAAAGCATATGCTGTATTCTTTTAAGGATGACATTAATGATACTTGGATTAATATTTTAAGGGGATCCAGACTTAAAAAAAAAATAAAGAAATCAGGACCTGTATTTCAATTGCACACAGCAGGCTATTTTCTGTATGTTTTCCATGATTTTAGTGAAGCTAAACCTACCAGCTTTACCAGGGAACCATCTCCTCATCTACTGGGTGTTATGTCCCAAAATTTTCTATACAATATTTTACACTTTTTTCATTAATGTTTCTTTATTGTAAAACAAGCGTATCTAAAAAAAATCTCTATCAAAATACTACTCCTTATACTCTCCATGCAGTGCCCTGCAGAAAAGAATATAAACTAAGCTGCACAGTCAGTTAAGTATTTCAATTCACGTGGAGAAACGTCCAACTTGCTCTTCACCATAACGAGTAATCAAGCCAGTCTCACAACAAAATATCATCTCAGTACCTGCTTATTAATGCAAAGTCCTATAGAAACACTCACCCTCCCTACAGATGCACACTTCATGTTACATGGAAGTAAAATGCCAGATCTTTCAGGTAAATGAGAAAACAGCACAGTGAAAAGTATCATTTCAGCTTTAATAAGTGGTAAAGCACTCAGGAGTTTGAAAAACCACCTGAAAGAGTCCTGTTCCCTTCAGAGGGGTGGAAAGGAGAGTTACTAAGTTAATTAAGGAATGGAAAAATATCTTGTGTATGATTCAGATACACGAGTATTATGGATGAGCTCTTGCTTGTGTGTAAACACTAATTCTTCCCTTTCCAACAGAAGGAAACTCTGCTAATACGCATCATTAAGTCCACGTTTTCTTTTTCCACATCATTATTTGCAGTTTGGCCACCCTGTGATAAAATCGGGGCATTGGGGTCCTTCTCCCCAGCTACTTCCAACTGATGAACACCCAGATCACATCCAAAGGCATCAAGCCCTAAATGGACAGCCCGACAGTCTGCTCCATTAAACTTCATCCTGCATCTGTTGCTGTGATCCACCAGGTCATTACACTCTCACACATGATATTCCAATCTCTTTGCATTGAAAACACCAATCTTTACTTTATTTGTTAAGAAAAAAAAGAAGAAAACCCCCCACAGCCCTATCTTTCGCGGCAGAATATTAAAGAAAATGAAAAGTATTAGCTCCTTTTTTAGTGCTGGGCATTGCTACTCCATCTCAAATTGGGTAGCGCTGTATCAACCATGGTTCTGATACCAGTGAAGTAAAACCTACCACAGTTCCTTGGTCTGGGCAAAAACATTTCTTCCTTTGGTAAACCTGCATCTCTAGTTGCTCTTTAACTAAACCCTGAAGGAAAGAATTCCTATACTACCAAGGTGGTCTTTACTATAGTTGTAAAGACTGCTTTTTTCCTTAAGTATGGGGTGTTCTTGACTGACAAGCAGAAACGCTAAATAATCTTTCTTACCCCAAATTGACAGATTTGCTAAAATTGCAGGTGTGGCTGCGAAGTTTTTTATGTGCTAGGTCTTACAGTAGTCTAAGATAGACTTCACCTTGTCCCTCACATAATTGAGGAAGACTCCAACCGCTTATAGAAGTGGTGGTGAACAGCAGGGGGGGGGGGGAAGTCATCTATCACCTGGCCAGCAAATACTGACTTACGTGTTCCATTATTAGCCATAGTTGTTTTCAGTTTGGAGCAATATTACTGGGAACTATTTTAATGTTAAGAGATATCTGTTTATACGTTGCAACCCTGATTCCAAGTTTGCAACTTTATTTCTCCCCAACACAATTTTTATGCAAGGGACACTGAAAAGTAGTCTATCATTTCATTTACATCTCACTCCACACCCACTCTTCATTTTTTATCTTGCCTACACTATCAGAAAACAGGTAATGCCTGGTACGCATACTGTCCCATCATGTTTGCTATCCCTATAATATCCAGTTTCACGTCCTGCACCAGTAGTTCTTGTTCCTCAGCTCTTCTGGTTCCCAAGTTCCTTGCACTTTTATTACTAAATATTTCAATGGCTTCTCTAACTTCATCCAGTTTTCTACAGAGATGGTTTTTTTTTCCACCAACTGAATTGCCTGCATCCCGTTAATACACTAGACTACTTTCTGCTTACTACCCAGTCTTATACCTTCTGTTTCTTTCTCACCTGAGAGTTGACCAAATCCACCCCATCTATAATACAACAGTTATTCTGAGAGTCCCAAAAGCATATACGTATTCCAGGGCAAACATTAACAATTCATTTCTGCTTTTTTATAATTTTGAATTATAAATTTACTGCTTTAAGTAGCAACTACTTGTCCCTGCCAGTTTCCAGTGGCAGCCCTTTTGAGGATGGAGTAAACCACCACCTCTCCTTGGTCCATGAGAAAAGCATACAACTTACCTTGGTAAGCCACCCAAAATTGATGCAAGACAGAAGCAAGGAAGCGATTCCCCTACATCCACCTCATAAAATTATGATTAGACAGTCTCTAGTTCCAATAATTTAGTACTTTCTGTATGAACAGTGCTTGTCTCAATCTGTGTTTATGTTGCTGTACTGCCAGAGAGATTAGAGCAAACCTCCAGTTACGTTCAGGATTATCACTCTTACCCCAGCTAACTGGAATGCACTTCAGTGCAATTAAGTTTATAACAAAAGGAATGTGCCATTCATCATATCAGATGCTCTTATAGGCTCCCTCAATTTCTCTAAACAAGCAACACTTTCTGTTTTCTCATCCCCAAATTCAGAAGGCTGTTTCCCATATCCCGGGAGAGAAAGACACTCAATCTTTAGATTCCTGTTGTCTCTCACCCTTCATACTTTGTTTCCAAATCTCTAGATAAACAGCTTCCTTTAAATAGCTCCCTGTCTTAAATATGCATGGTACATGAAGATCACTTGATATGAAAAGCTAAGAGGGACAGCACACATTGCAGCTACAGCATTCCACGTGCAAAGCAGTATCACGTTGTCAAATATCATGGGTTCAAACGCAAAGTCTTGTAAACCCTGAGCCATATATACATGGTGGCCATGAAATCCGGAGATTAAGGCATCTCAGATTTTCATCCCAGTTCCTTCCTAGAGGAATAACACTAGCAGCAAACTAACTACAACACCTTGACACAAGGAAAACCACCTTTATAGCCACAAGCCCCTATCTTGGCTCCTTGCCTGTAACTGAACTCACCAAGATCCTGAACCGAGAGTTTATTCTAGAATATATGGTGGACTTTTTTCCTTCATGGGTACCACTGCCAAATATTTAATGAATTTTTGTTAAGCATCAAATTCCTGTTCCCACACTTGCATGAGGCATCTCAAATAAAGCTGACAGTATTTGAAAGAGACTGCTTTTAGATTTGATTCTAGGCTTTTGAGTAGAGTTTCTCCCAGGAGAGAAGCAGAGTGCTGAAGTTAGACTAATAATTTAAAGAGTCTTCAAAACACAAGATGGAGTTCCACTGAATTCTAAGAGTGAATAATCTTCTAGCGAAACATTCACGAACAGCAGTCAGACTTTCACAGTAGTCACGCAACTCTTACTACTTGTAGAAAGAGATCATACTTCCCAATTGCAGGTAGCACACGGAAGAATAAAGGTCTTCAACTGTAAAGCAAGCAGATACTCTTCGGCAATATCTACATTCAATTCTTATTAAAGAGGACAGGCTTTAACAAATAGTCTTCTGTAGCAATTCAGGTTGACAAAGTTAAAAAAAACAGCGAGGTTCATACAATCAGACAGTAAATAAGCAGCTGCACAAGTGTAGCTGTTTTTATAGCACAGTGGATTTTCGTATATCAAGAGCAATTTGAATAAAGAAACAATATGCAATGATTCCAGAAATCTGGAAGAGTAACTCATGGATTGCCAAATTACCAGTATTAAAGACCAACCAAGGACCTTCCAGAATGATCCCAAAGGCTGGACAGTACAAGAAATGCTAATTAAGAGGTAAGCTCCAGCAGCCAGCGGTCTTTAGTTAGTTAGTGTACAGCCAAAGAGCGTGGGGAGGGTGGGAGCGAGTAGTCAACTGCATTACAAGCCAGTACACGTGACAAGAGGCTGAAAACAGCCAGAGAAGGCTGAGATGAAATACTTTGACAGAAGTGATCTTTGAATCTTTCTGTAGATCTTTCAGATGTGTCTAAAATGGAAAAAAAGACCTTAACACACAAACATCCAGATCCACAAAAAGAAAAGAAAAAACACACCAAAAACCAAGGCAGAAAATGCCCTTGGT